TATATATATATATAATAAATAAATAGAATATAATGTCGACGAAATTAATATTAAGCTGAAACGGCCTTTCATTATTGCGCTAAGAACAAAATATCGCAAAGAAAATAACCATTAAAATTGTGGATATAAATGTGTAATAAACGCTAACAGATAAAAATACAGTTCGTGACAACATGGACGAATGAAAATCAAACAATTTTCATGAGAATTATAATATTAAAAACTACTTCGACCATATTGCGGGAACGTTATACAACATGATACTAAAATCGACCTACGATCATAAACGTGCAGTGTGCCCAAAATATTTCTAATTCATGCGGAAGATGACGCAAGCGGAGAAGACTCAATCGATATCGAGCAACTTACGAACGTAGCAACCTTTGCTTATTTCTGATGAACGTACAAGTTAAAAACAATCCATTGCCTCCGCTTACATCTCGTGTCCTCTAAGCATGCCATAATATAGTCTTACAGAGTGAATATTTACTCGGCATTGTCAGTGCGCGCTTTACATTCTCCAGGAAAGAGAATTCACGTGCAAAACGACAGACTTTGCAAAAGCTCGGGAGGGATTGAAAGAGTGCATGAAAGATCATAGAGCTCGTCTACTGAAAGCGTAAGGAGAATTCTCTTTTTGGATTCCGACGTGAACTCGCCGTCTGAGGGAAGAGACGAGACGAGACGCGTCGACGATTGCGACCTACGTTTCGTTTACAATTGACATTATTTCGAAACCGACGCACAGTGTGAGACGAGCGAGAATGCTTTGCAATTTGTGCGAAATTCCTCTTTACGCACTTACTCGAGCCCCCGTCGAGCGGAATAACAAATTAGCTACGCTAATTAGAAATTGTATACATTCGTCTTTGCTCGGAAAATCAAAGTCCCTTTGATTCGCTCCTTTCAAGGAAGCATCCCCACAAATTGTGCAAAGTGTAATTCCCTGTTTTCTTATAAAGCTCGAGATCACAGAGCTCCCGGTTTTCTCGGAAGGATGATGTAAATATAAATTAATGAAGAAATGATTAAAGTCGACAAATCGAGTTGCGATGAGATATATTGCGCTTGATATTATTGAGACGTATATTTTCTCACAATCACAAATCTTTAAATATGAAGTACTACCAAGAAACCAAATCTCAAAACATCATTGTGGCTGGCTTCAAATTAACACACAGTTCTCGTTCATTTAATTCAATCCATTTTTGTTTAACCGGAAATCGATTAAATATACAATATTATCATATTTTTCATTTGAAATCGTTATTTTTCAAATTTTCATGATTTGATTTTTGTACGACGTTTTTTGTTTGAGGAACATATTCGACAGAATGCAATAGATTTTATCCCGTAATTCAATCCGTCGATATAACCTGTTTGTCAGATCAAGTTGGCTGGAAAATAAAAGATAGACCGATGTAGGATGTTCGAGTAAATGCGTAGAAGGTGGTATACGCTTCATCGGCGGTATTGCCTATACGGTTATACAGCATCGCTGCGTATAAACCGTTGAATGTCCACGTTTTATTAACACCTATGCCACTACGAACGCGCAGCAACGCGTGTGCGTGCGTTGCGATCTAAATTGCATCTTCTCGTATGTGAACGCGACCGGGGGAGAATGTACGTGAAATTAAGTAATATATACAAGATGAGAGAAAAAAATGCATATATATATATTATATATAAATGTCAATGTACATCCGCGTTTTTCGCTAGACTTACTTGGGTACGAAAGGTCTTCACCTATGCAGAGTAGTGGAGGAGACGAGGAGAGAAGATAGATTCGGACAGATAGACACATATAGAGAGTTAGTTAAAGAGTCTTTGCTTGCGAATCTCGTGTTCTGTCGTGAGCCCGTGCGCGCGCCTGTGTTTGTTACGTATGCACGCGTGTATGTGTGTGCGCGTGAATGTGATTGTGTGTACCTTGACATTTAATGTGATTACTGATTCGCGTGTTTCGTTGTGTATGCATGAGTAAGATCAGTGTAGAATACGTTGCTCGAATGAGCGATGCAGGTGCTAGTGTATAGATTTTTAAGTTAATTAATTGACGTAATTTGTCACGCCTCTCTTACGCGCGCATCGCTCACGTGTACACGTTTATCTAACATCGTGAAAATGTGATGCACAACCGGTAAACACCGATTTGCTTCCGAAAGAAGGAAAGAGGAAAAAAAAAATGGTATAGCAATCGGAGTAACGAGCGGTCACCAATGTTTCATTGATCTCTACGTTGTTCGCAAATCAAACTGTCCGCGAGGTTGCTCCGATGGCCAACAATTTTTTTATGACACAGAACACTCGTTGATGTCGCGTGACAATGCCGTCAATCCAAAAAGTGACGTTCATCTGACCGTTAATAAAGTTAATGGATATTGGCGGTTCTGACGATATCAACGTGGCGTTGACGCCGATTCAAAGAGTGTTTTGCGAACTTCTAAAACACACAGGTACTCCATATCCAGCGGTAACACTTATTTGTTAATTACGAAACATTCACTATTGAACGTTGAAAATATTTCAGGAAAACGAATATCAAGTTATAATGACGTAAGTTCTCTTCGATATCAACGATCGTTGCCTCTGCCACAGGACGAGTAAAAATCCACGTAATAAAAAGAGCTAATTCTAAAGTAACTCTAATTACACGTCGAATTATCAGATATCGAACACCGATGCAAGGTTGATTGGAGGTAGTTTAATACTTCAAGGCAATCACATCACGTCGATTCTCGATTGTGTTAATTTCATAATTCACTCACAACAATAACCATCGAGTAACACTGACAAACTTTTAGGAAAACTACATTCAAAACGACATTGATAGTAGTGTAATTTCAGTTGCAAAATAGTTAAGAACACCACACCAATAGGGACTCAAACACTAACGATGTTCTACGCTGGAGCCATTTATCAATCCGAACGAACTTTAGGAGATTAGCACAACGACATTATAATTTTTTATTATAATTATAAAAGCACTGTAATTTAAATTACGTAGACCAAACAACGGCTCAACAAAGAGACTTAATATCTTGTGTTAAGTATAAAAATTTATAGAATGTTTACGCGTTGTGCTAGTCTTGTTGAATATGTAATGGTGATGTTTTCATTTCATAATATTTTATTTAAAACCGTGTAAAATTTATCGATAAAATAGGCCTTGACGAAACATTTATTGGATAGAATTATAGAAACATATGTAATTAAAGTTTATCATTGAGAAATTTATCATATAATATAAATATGATTATAAATGTAAAAGTTTTGAATACACATATTGAATACACTCATTGTCTTTAATCGTCAAGACCTCAAATTGGATATTGTAACTTCAAATCATATTTGCAGATTAGAAAATTTTGCCTTTCTTATAATATATCCGTCAAACAAATATAATTAAATCATACATAAGATCGTTTATTTTAACATGACCTTTGAAATAAATTTATTTAATATGATAAATAATAACTGTATTTAAATAAATAAATTAAATAAATATTTAAATACAGTTAAAAGTACATTGATATAACAATACATTAATATAAGATAAGAAATTATTATTGTAATCACATCTACATTATTTAGACATTTCAATAAATGTTATGTTACTAATTTATTGCTTTGAAACAATTATAGTATTTTATACGAATTTATATTAGCATTTATTTCACGGCACTTTTTTTGTGCATTGTATAAAACGAAAAGAAAATTGTTTTTTTTTTCTTTATATACATTATATACGTACAATTAATTAGAACTATAATTTTATTGATGATATAAACACGCTGAGTTTTTTCGAGTCAAAGGCCATGTTGCTCTATTAGAATACTGTAACTTTTCTATTTTCATAAACACACCTTATCCAATGAATTTACATTAAAAAAATTTCCGTATTTTCGGGATTAAAATAAAAGAATGACGTTTGGTACACAGTCTACACACGGGGGATACGTACTTGCTCTTCCAACCATCTGAACAGCTCGCACGCCTTTCCGGAATGTGGCCACTGCCCGAAGGGAGGAGAACCAGAGCTGTTAGTTGTCACAACCAAAATAATGTCAACCTAGATGCGGGGGTCTCAACGGGTATGGGAGATCTAAATCCGTTGTCCCGATCGATATGTCACGTTTAGAGCGATTTATCAGGATCAGGGTATCACAAATTTTAATATTTTCTCTCTGGTTTCTTATTTAACTTAATTTTTCTGTTTACTTAAATTTAATTTTAATGGGCGTTTTTTTTTTTCTTAAATTGCATTCAAGATTAATTTTAATAAATCATGCCTGCGTAAAATATTTAGCTCGTGTAGAAATCGTTCATATAAAAAGATAGAAATTGGATTTCAAAATAAAGATTTAATCAAATGTCGCTAATTTGACAGATCACAACAATATTTCAACTTTGGCGAAAATGTTGTTGTAGCTTACTGTAACGTGACCTTCGATGGAGAGAGAGTCATTATTAACATTGGTGTTACAACCATTGCATAGTTTAGTTTGGCCTACTGTGAGGGTCGCAACACATAGATATTATATCTGCACTGTGCGGTTGAATCTCGTATATTCAAGAATACGTATTGAAAAAAGAAGTAAACGTTTCCTCAGAAGTCAATATCGGTTGCAGAGTGTCGACGTTATATATTGTTGTGATGTTGGTGAGTGGTGTCAAATATGCTCGATATGTGAGGGGAAATGAAGTATTTTTAGCCGATGTAAACCCTGGGCATCGATTATAATCGTCCCTGTAAGCTGTTTAAGCTCATGATATGCTTACGTCTTGGTGCTCTTTTCTGGTTGCGTGCCGAATTCAATCAACCCGCACTTAGCGACATTGAAAGTATCACGGAAACGGAATGTCACGTGCACGAGCAGATCAATATCATATTTAATAACGCACTGCTGTAGTTTTTCTGAGCTATTAAAACATTTTGGAATATAAAAAAGAACATATCGTATGTAACATATTTAAAATACTTCTGAAATAATATACAACGTACTGTTAAATATTTTATACAAAATATACGTTTATTAAAGAATTTTTAATATTCTTTCAATGAAATGTAAAAGTACTCATAAACGCATATTCCCATACATTTACACAAGATTTTCAAGACGAGCATCTGTAACTATATTTTAATTTCGTGTTTAATATTGCAGTTAGCATATTGAATTTTGACAAAATTAACATAGAAATTAATTAAAATGCTGCAATAAAATTTGATTTTACAACAATTAATTATACAATTTCTTATATAAATACGGGGTAATAAGAAAACGTTTTTCGCGAAAGTCAATATTGAAGAAATAGTTATATTTACTCCTGACGAATATATTCATAATATTAATTATGCTTATATTAATACTTATTTGTTAATAATTTTTTAATTTATAAGTGCAGAGATTTGCGATATGATTTTTGGGATTGCAACTTTCACGAAAAGCGTTTGATCAGTGCAAAAACTATGCAAACTTTTACAAGTTGATGTATACAAAGCAATCCAAAGTAATAATACTTGCATTCAATTATATAATAAAAGTATACATATATATATATATATATAGGTTATTTATTTTTGGAGTATGTAATACTTTTGGATAGCCTTATATATAAAAAGATACTTCAGTTCCAAATTGTCACGCTTATTGTTGCAATCACTGAAGCAGATTCTGGTAAGGAAAAGGTATAATCATCGTATATGTGCGTGTTATATGAACGAACACGTGACAATATCTGGAACTGATGAAATATACAAATTATCAATAAAAATCCACGTAAGCACACTGAAACAACAATTAAGAAACGTTAGCAAGCCTGAAATATGATATGAGCAAACTCGTCGACTGGTGTTAGGTGGCAGCCATTTAACGTGAAGACACAAAATATATATATATATATACGGCTCGGCAACGTGCAAGAATGCGTTTTCTGCGCGAAAGCGGCCATTGTATCTTATCGTACTTGTGACGAATGAAGCTAAACATAATACGGAGTAGTTAATCGATTTTTGCGGCGCATAACCGCATCCGTTTGTCCAACCCGTCGTGCTTGTTACTCGGCCCCGGCCCACGTGTCGAAGTAGGAGAAGAAGCGACGAACAATATTAGTGCTACGTAACGTAACTATATGCTGCTATTAGAGGGCGATGCTCGATAACTCGCTCAATGCCATCAGCTCTAGCAAAAGCCCAACGATAAACAATATGGATTGTACGGATCCGAGTGGGAGAGTATCGTATACGGGGTACTGTGGAGTAAGTGCACGTGATAAGTGAGACGATTAGTCCGTCGATTTGGCTGTTGTATACGTTTAATATCACTTACGCCATCTTACCTCATTACACAATTAAAGCCAACCTGATTCTGCCGGACACCGAAACATTTTCTGGCGTCGCCAAACGAAACGTTACACGAATATTTCATTATCACCATTTCTCAATATACGAATATAAAATAGCATGCCGGATCCAGCAGAATGCATTTTGTCAGAATAACGAGCATGAATCCAGTATGCTGGCAATATAAGGAGTGTCAATTTTGAAAAAACATCTCTTTTTATGTAAGAAATTCGATATTAATTTTTAGAAAATCGACCCATGTGCTTTATACTGACAAATTCTCGCAGAAACTGCGACAGGTGGACACGCATATACGAGATACGAAAAGGATGGAGGAGGAAGCCGGCAACAGGCATACCGTCGAGATAACTGCTGTAGGCAGTGTTTCCCTTCACCATGCCAGTCTGCATCATCATCATCCCCACATCTGCAAAAATTCAGCGATCGACCCGGACACGGGTTTGTGAGTTATAAATAAAGTGAACAGACGCATCATATATATACACAGGAGAAAAACGTGAACGGCTGATGTTCACAACGCACTTTGTTTTTTCTCTCCTTTGTTTTTTTTTTTTTTTTTTTTTTT